GTGACTAAAGCTGGGCTCACAATATCCTCCTTACCTACTTTGACGCATTCAAGATTCGGTTCTCGTCCAAATCTTCTGTCTAGCCTCTCTCCCCCAGGAATGTGTGAACCAAACCTGGACCTGAATAGCTCTCAATTGCAGGGCAATTGCAGAGTTCAGAGCCAGACCCAAATTTTGTAGTGTGGGCCTGGCTTTAGTTTTCAGCCAAAAACCAGGCAAAGCTTAGTGGTATCAGCACCATCTGTGCATGCATGAAGTTACTGGGTTCAGCTGAAGTGCAAATTTAAGGGAAAATATGTGCACACCCGTGTGTAATGGCATCTGTGGGGCTATGCAATGTGTGCAGTAGAGCTACTGCAAGCTTCCTTGCTTTAACTGAATCAATATTTGCCCCCCCCCCCCAACTTCTCCATATTCAATCAATCCAGCACAGACATATGATTAAGGCCAGGTCTAGGGGAGAAAGTTGGCCTAAGATACGCAACTCCAACAACATGAATAGCATAGCTGGAATCAACGTACCTTAGGTCAAATTTCTGTAGCATCCCCACTGCGGTAGGTCAATGGGAGAAACTCTTGCATCAACTTCCCTTACTCCTCATGACCTAGTGGAGTATTGTGGCTGATGAGGGTACAGTCAGCAGTCATTTAACCAGTCCTTACTAGACCAGCTAAATCAAACCCTGGGAGATTGATCTCCACAATGTCAATCTCCAGATAAATGGAGACAAGCTCTAAGTCTAAACAGAGCCGCTGACTGTTTGATATACAGGCAGTCCCCAAGTTACGCGGATCCGGATCCGCAGTTACGAATGGGGATTTTCTCGCCCCGGAGGACTGGAGCGGCGGGACGCCTGGTCCCGCCGCCCGCCTCCTCCGGGGCGAGAAAAGCTGCTCCCCATCTCCCTGGCCTGCAGGGAGACGGGGAGCAAAGCCTTGGAGCACGCCCACAGGGGGACAGCCCAGGCGTGCTTGAGCTGTCCCCCTGCAGGCGTGCTCCGCGGCTTTGCTCCCTGTCTCCCGACCAGCAGTCCAGGGAGACGGGGAGCAAAGCCTCGGAGCACGCCCGCAGCAGGACAGCCCAGGTGCGCTTGGGCTGTCCCGCTGGGGGGGGCTCCGCGGCTTTGCTCCTGTCCCCCTGGTCTGCTGGGGGGGGGGGGGG